TAGAACGCACTAGATCGCATTAGAAGGCACTAGATCGTAATAGAACGCACTAGATCGCATTAGAAGGCACTAGATCGTAATAGAACGCACTAGATTGTAATAGAACGCACTAGATCGCAGTAGAAGGCACTAGATCGTAATAGAACGCACTAGATTGTAATAGAACGCACTAGATCGCATTAGAAGGCCCTAAATCGCTATAAAATGCATTAGTATGCACTAAAATGCTCAAAACCAGATGAGGACGTACGCCGGGACAAACCAGATCACCCAGATGCGGACATACGCCAAGACAAGCCAGATGCGGAAGTACGGTACGTCGGGACAAGCCAGATGCGGACGTATGCCGGGCGTGTGCGCCAGTAACGTTATATAAGCTCTTTGTATGCCGCGTTGTACGCTAGTCGCCAGTAGAAGGGCTTGGAGCCTCGTTTACGCCGGATTAATCCGCGGAAAAAGGCACCATCCTGGGTATGGGCCATGTGGATTGTCGCCTTCTACTATTCAGTTTTGTAATTAATTTCCAACCGAATTGTGATCTATGAATAATTATTCATAATATTGCCAACTCTTAGAACCTGAGTTAACACATTAGAAATCTAGTCAACGTGATGCAGATATTTGTTCGTGTGTGATAGCGTTGCCGCGCATTCATCTTTAAACAATTTTAGGAGCACGGCGCAGGCTGGCGCACGGTGCACTTTTTTACCGGCATATTACGGCGCACGGCGCAAATTGATGCAATGATAATAAAAATTCCCACGCACCTGGCACATCTTCCTGACTGTGGAAAAATAGGCAATTTTCCTTATCTATTTATATGGCATATAAATAAGGAAAATTGCCTATTTTCATCTGTAATTTCTAAAAATCTTCCAATCATTTTTACCTGTGATTTTAGGAAACTTTTGTTAAATATTCCAAATTGCTTTTGAAGATATTAGACATATTTAATATTTTGATGCTAAAATGTTGCAAAAGACCTCTAACCCTCCTTACGAGTTACGCCTTCATTTTCAGTAGAAGGCCAAATTCCCGAATGAACTCTAGGAATAGGGGTTGAAATTCCAGGCCACACTGTACTCAGTCCATAGTGGCAAACCACAGCTTTTTCAGAATCAGTTCATTTTCAATTTCCTCATTTACCCAAGATTTAAATCAATTCCTTATGTATGATACTGCTGGTGTCCAGAATACTTTACTGGTCTACTTATAGGACTCACAAATGAACTTGAGGGAGAGTCTAAAAAACTCTCTGCTTTGCCACTATGACTCAGTGAGTCTCAGTCTACTGACTCTAGTCAGTCTAACTGTCTAGTGAGATGAAATTTGTAACTGGCATAAATTCTTCATTTACCCAACTCATGGTTGTCTTCCCAGAATTCTTCACAGCATCTGCCAAGACTGCCATTCTTGTTCTCTCAGTTACATACACTCACTTGCATTGTTTGGTCCTAACCTTAGCAAAGGTTGAGCAATAAAATCAAATAGCCTATCTCTCATAGTGGCAAAGCAGAGAGTTTTTTAGACTCTCCTTCAAGTTCAATTTCAAGTCCTATAAGTAGGTAGACTAGAAAAGTATCATGGATACCAGCATCATCATACATAAGATATTGGCTTTAATGGCTTAAATCTTGGGTAAATGAGAAAATTAAAAATGAACTGATTCTAAAAAATAACTGGTTTGCCACTATGCTATCTCTTGCTTAATGGTTTGGGTGCTGGTCCAGACTCCAGAGTGGTCCTATAAAGTATAAATTTTGTATTGTGCAACCATTTAAATTAAATAGTATTTCTTATATTATCACCTATAATTAATTTCTGCTTTGTATTTATCTATCTGCAAAATTAATTATCTGTCGAATTCGTTCATGAATAAAATTATAAATTTTAAATAGGTACCTACTCATTACTAGGGGGTAGGGTAGGGTCCCGGCGGCACGCGCAATATCCGGTAGCGGAACGGGCCGGAACCATGACAGTTTCTGTAACTTTCTGATAGGCTCAATTGTCACTGCACTGAATAGTGTAACGTAATGGGCTTTTCAATTAATTGTCTTATATAAACTTGAGAATATATTACCTATCCTGAATTCCTTGCTGGACTCACTAACTAGTAACTACGGCAGTCAGCAACCACTAACCAGTGAGCCAGAAAGCAGGTGGCAAGTGCATCACCACCAATTTCCGGATCATACTAGGCCTCATCTATTATACCGGAAAGCCTGAAACATTGTATTTCGCCGCAGGAGATGCTCATGCGATTTCAAACAAGTCTCATCAACATATGCTTTTAGGCAACCATGTTTTTAGATCCAAACTTAATTACAATTAACGAACGTGAAGTAACGTAACGAAAAACGTGAAGCAACTGCGACTATTCACCGTAATAAAGGTTTAAGGGAAATGGCCAATCACGCCACGAATTTTCATAATGGAACCAATTTAAAATGGGTCAACTGATGCAGAAATTGGCCACTATTATTCAAGCTTAGAAATGTTAGTGGCGCAATCAAAAGGAATTTTTCGGTTGATGTGGTCCAGTNTATTATTATTATTATTATTATTATTATTGTTTGCCTCCAATTAGTGTGCTTTTACCTATATTGTTCTTGAGATTGCATCAGTATATCACATAGGGTTAGAACGTTTATATAACATGAGACAAGATTTAAGCCCTAACGACTGGCTCAATATAAGGCCACCTCTTTGTATTTATCTTGTAGAGTGCACTTTGAAGCAAAAATACAATGTTTTTTAATCATCATTATCTATCCAACGTCTAATGACTCTTTAAATTTCGAACAGATTATTTTCACTACTTATTTTTCGTTGGCTGTCATACATAATAATACGTCTCGGACAAATTAACGGCCGGACTCGCGGCCGGCCGTTAGTTAACAGTGAAAAAACTACATAAATTTATAACTTGCAAAAAACTACAATTTTATTTAATAAGATTCAGGTGAAATTGCCCCAATATTTTATAATATTCCTAAGAGATGCATCCATGGAGATTTTATAAGTTTATGTAATTATAAAAATATCGAAAATATTGATCTAATACTAATAGCTGACTCGCAGTCGTAAAAACCAAAAGAAATGACACCATACTTATGACTTTCGTGTATGAGAAGAAATGAATGTAAACGTAGGTAGTAATGCAATTATTCCTTAGTTTCATTCACGATAATTCTCACGATTCCATATTAGCGAACCCAGTCCACGTTGAACTCTTATAAGGGGTCAGGGGAACATGCAAAGCACCTGGAAAATGGACGATTCTCGTTCCAAGTAAATGGATTTTCTTAAGTTGGGTTCGTATTTTTTCAATCATCGGGTGAAAAACAATTTTTTTACATTGGATCAACAGCCAGCATTTGCAGAACTGTTCTGCCATCAAGGTATTATCGACGCGGCTGGTCATGGCTATTAAATGAACTGGTCATTAAACCAATTTTATTTTTTGTTGCTCCAACAGCAGAGAACAATTCCCTAAGTTTCTTTAATGTTTTTCAACGTTAAGCTGTGGAATTCAGTTAGTGGACATTCAAAGCAATCGATCGAACTCGAACTTCTTCGACTCTAGCATTAGAGTGCATGTGCCTTTGATAGCATTCTGCATACTAAAGTTGTTGACGAAGCTTGAAACGTTGAAGCAAACTATTTCAAGTTCATACTTAGCTCTAATTATCAAACTTTTGTCCCAGTCCAAACAGAGTATTCAACTTTTTTATTTAGCTGTGTCACGTCAACCAAATTTGTTATACTCTGTCTCCTTGACACTGGGGAGTCGTGAATTCGCCACCGTAACCCCAGCACAATTCTCCGTACAAAGGAAATTAGTTGGTGCGGACGGAAAAAGTACATCTTAAAGCAAAATTCAAGAAGCTTAAACCAACAACTCATAAAAAGAGAAGTGAAATGCATTCTTGTGCTTCTGCCGGGATCCTGTTTTTCTGGCATTTCATTCTGTGGGGGGAAGGGAAGTCGACCTTTTGGGTAGACTCCCGACGAACCACCACCTGCAACTCGCCGTCGGACGAGCTGTTGACCGTTACAGTGAGCACCCACCTTGTGTGTAGCATGGTCTGTGCTACTAAACACTGTGAGGCGTTCGAATTCGAAAACGGTAAGCGGCGACTCGTTCCAAAATTTGATGAATGAGCCAACAGAGCTTTGACAATATACTTTAAGTTGAAATATGTCTGAATACTCTAGCCGTTCTTCAGCCATTCATTGCGAGTCGAAAAAAAATTTTGATCGGAAACTATGCAATTCATATACATTACAACGTTATTATGCTGAAAAACATTTTAAAAGTCCATATATATTGAATCTGTTGAGTATGATCAATCCTTGCAAGCTCCAGCAGCTATTTTATTTATATATTGCGACGGCCTGCGTTAAATTTCAAACAGTTTCATGAGGTGGATTCAATATAATATAATATAATGTAATATAATATAATATAATATAATATAATATAATATAATATAATATGGCTGCTAATCTACAATGATATTTTGGCTGCTAATCGACAATGATATTTCGGCTGCTAATCTACAATGATATTTTGGCTGCTAATCTACAATGATATTTTGGCTGCTAATCTACAATGATATTTTGGCTGCTAATCTACAATGATATTTTGGCTGCTAATCTACAATTGAGTTATATACTTAATAAACAATAATAGCAGTTTCAGCGTTTATTTGGCCATAAGCCTGTCGATGATAATTAACATTGGAGAATCGATCATAACATCGCTCATGACGGTACCTTCATTGATAAAATGATCTGTAAAATTATATATCAAGCATCTTTTCCTACCAAAATAAATGCCTTCATTTCATTTGTTCTATATTAACGCCGAATCTTTAACTTCTCGAATTTCTGAGTCGATCAGTAGCTTCTCGCAAGCATAAATTCCATGTTTCTAGTAAAGCATGTATAAATTTATTCATGAAAGTATAAATTCTTTGTATCTAACAAAGCCAACATAAATTTATTCCTCAAAGTATAAATTCTTTGTTTCTAATAAAGCAGGTATGAATTTATTTAATAAAGTGTAAATTCTTTGTTTCTTGTAAAGCAAGAATAAATTTATTTATGCAAGTATAAATTCTTTGTTTCTAATAAAGTAAGTATAAATTTATTTATGAAACTATAAATTCTTAGTTTCTAATAAAGCAAGTATAAATTTATTTATGCAAGTATAAATTCTTTGTTTATAATAAAGCAAGTATAAATTTATTTTTGAAAGTATAAATTCTTTGTTACTAATAAAGTAAATATAAATTTTTGTTCCTAATAACCAAGTATAAATTTTTTGTTCCCAATAAAGCAAGTATAAATTCCTTCGCGCAAGTATAAATTATTTGTTTCTATTAAAGCAGGAAAAAAGTTATTTATGAAAGTATAAATTCTTTGTTTCTAATAAAGCAGGTATGAATCTACTAATGAAAGTATTAATTTTTTGTTTCAATATCGTGTAATAATTTGGCTTGTCCAATCCTCCGCTCAGCACCAAGGAGTTCGCTGTTGACGGCCGCAATGACACCAAGTATCACTCGGACGCGACAGGAGCGTATAAGACCCCGTGGCTCCTCGTCAACTTGGAGGGAGCCATGTTGGTGCAGAAAGTCCGACTGCTTCCTAACGTTGGTGTAATGCCACAGCGAATTAACAACTACCAGGTGAGTTAAACAGTTGATCAAATAAGTTAACGCACCATACATAAGGAAAGTACAATGATGAGAAACGTGAATATATAGCATATAATAAATAACATCTAATAGGAAAAAAATATAACTCAGTACTCCCTGCAGTGAGTGACAGAGCGTATTTTCTCGTCGACGAAAACGTTAAGTCACGGACGGACAGACGGACGGACAGACGGACATATGGCGAGCACAATAGTGCATTTTTCCATAAATGAGAAAATGCGCTAAAAATTATTCTCCTAATTTAAGACTACGATGCGACGCCCCAGCTTTGGGTTTTATCAAGTAAATAGTTCTAGATTTGATGTTAATCAAACATGAACATCATTTCCATAGTTAAAGCTTCTGTCTTCAAAATTGTGAACAAATTCGAGGATTAATTAATTATTTTAGTCTCTGAATCCAATCTCAGATTCTGCTTGGCAACGACGAGCCTCCCACTGCGATGGACTTCAGCCAGTACGAATTGGTGGGGGCCATCCCCGGGCCGGTCCCCTTGGGGGAGAAGTGGTACGAGTTCGACGTGTCGCCCCCCCGCTGCAGCCGCTACGTCGCTGTGTACAAACACGTCGCGACTTCTGACTACATCATGGAGATCACGGAGATGGAAGTCTTTGTCTGGAACTAAGACATTGAGGCGGGAACCAGGGCTGCCAGACGGTCTTTTTTCCTGACAAATTCCACGGTTTAGTTTTTTTAAATCGCGTTGGGAGGGTAAAATTTATGATAGGGGTACTTCCTAATTATTTTTTAAAAACTGCAATAGAAAAAGAAATTGAATTTTTATACCGGGACCTACAGATATAATAGTATATATTGAGTTATAGGCCTTTTTTGCCTTTTTGTTCAATGACATGGCCGTTTTTTGGGCCGTCTGGCAACCCTGGCGGGAACAGCATCGTCATGGAGATCTCGGAGATGGAAGTCTTTGTCTTGAGCTAAGACATTGAGGCGGGAACGACATCGTCATGGAGATCACGGAGATGGAAGTCTTTGTCTTGAACTAAGACATTGAGGCGGGAACTAATAAACCAAATCCATTCGTCATGGAGTTCACGGAGATGGAAGTCTTTGTCTTGAACTAAAACATTGAGGCGGGAACTAATAAAGAAAATTCATTCGTCATGGAGGTCACGGAGATGGAAGTCTTTGTCTTGAACTAAGACATTGAGGCGGGAACGGCATCGTCATGGAGTTCACGGAGATGGAAGTCTTTGTCTTGAACTTGGTTCTTGTTTCAAGTTCTAGTAATCCTTCGGGGACCTTGTATAAACCATGAGTATACTTGTATACTTTACTGAGGTCCCCACGCAGACGTCGATAACTGAGGCTTGGAAGCTTCATAATCTTCAATCTTTCTACATAGGACTTGCCCTTCAAGCCTGGAATTATCCTTGCAGCACGTCTTTGAACATTCTCTAGTAAATTTCTGTCCATTCTCTAGTAAATTTTCTCATGTAAATTTCTTTGTCTTGAACTAAGATATAGAGGCGGGAACAGTATCGTCACGGAGATCACGGAGATGGAAGTCTTTGTCTTGAACTAAGACATTGAGGCGGGAACGGCATCGTCTTGGAGATCTCGGAGATCGAAGTCTTTGTTTTGAACTAAGACATTGAGGCGGGAACGGCATCGTCATGGAGATCTCGGAGATGGAAGTCTTTGTCTTGAACTAAGACATTGAGGCGGGAACAGCATCGTCATGGAGATCTCGGAGATGGAAGTCTTTGTCTGGAACTAAGACATTGAGGCGGGAACAGCATCGTCATGGAGATCACGGAGATGGCAGTCTTTGTTTTGAACTAAGACATTGAGGCGGGAACAGCATCGTCATGGAGATCACGGAGATGGAAGTCTTTGTCTTGAACTAAGACATTGAGGCGGGAACAGCATCGTCATGGAGATCTCGGAGATGGAAGTCTTTGTCTTGAACTAAGACATTGAGGCGGTAGCGTGCAAAGAATCCTACACTCACTGTCACAGTAAAAAGAAGAACCGAAACTGCAGGAAGAGTGAGGAGTGTAGTATTGGAGCTTATGTCAGATCGGACTTACGAACGGGATGCTTTGATACTTATTCTTTGACTATAGTCATCGATGATGTAATCTCAAATGATAGGCACGCACTGTGTTGATAAATATCTATAGAAAATATTTTAAACTGCATCCATTTTCGTGTCAATTGATTCGCCGAAAGCAGGCAACTCTGGGCAAGCGGGCCTTCCGCAAGCATAATTTGACAGAATTAGCCAAGCGACGATCGTGGGCCACAAAATTTGCTGCCAGCAGGCATGATAAGCGACACTTCCCTCGCTCACTCACACTCTCCTCACATATACACCTCTCACTTACACTCCCCTCACATATACACCTCTCACTCACACTCCCCTCACATATACACCTCTCACTTACACTCCCCTCACATATACACCTCTCACTTACACTCCCCTCACATATACACCTCTCACTTACACTCTCCTCACATTTCTCTGCCACGTTAGACCCATTATATTATATTGGTTTATAATTATATTGGTTTATTTCCATTCTTAAGTAAACCCTGCATTCCCCTTGGCGGTCCCCTCCTGAAAAGGTCCCTATGCAAGCAGCGCCATGCTTATCTGACATTTTATTACTGTTATAAAATTTTGGATTCCCAATATACAGAATGTGCAAATAGAAGACATATAAGTTATCAAATGGCCTGAGTAATCTCCCGCCAATAAATCCTGTTTGCTGTGCAGAACTTTTCTTCTTCAGTTATTAATGCTCTGTAATAAGTAGCGTTAGAATGAAATTATAACAGAAATGTTAATCAAGTAGGTAATGTTAACCGAAAAATTTATTTCGGGCCGTGATGATTTTTTGTGGCATTTGAATATCAAAAAGTATATTTTAAATATCAAACTGACCGTTGAATGGGTGTTGGTTTCAAACTAACTTTATGTTCGAACCGATCTTTCCATAATTATAGTAAATTAGTTTGGATTTAGGCATTTCCAATCTCTTATAGTATCGTCTTTACCTAGCATCGTCGTGTTAGCCTGATCACTATTTTACTTCTTTAATCGTTACGTAGGTGACATGAAATTTTATGTACTCGTATAATATTGTGTGTTCATCATATTTCTACACCAATAAACGTTTAGCACCTATTTGACTCCTACATCACGTACACCTTTTGTGAGGCTGTCGTTCCGTCAAGAAGTTGAATTTTCAGTTTATGTCTGTAAGTGTAACGTTCTCATGGAAGGAAACCTCAAAATTAAGATCCTGGAATTAAAATGGCAGCTTGGTTTCGACTCGATCGATATTTTGTTCACCTTCCTAGATCGACCGAATGTTTAATTTCTTTACTCATTTCTTTAGAAGCCGCGCTAGAGGGAAGAGGCGATAAAAGAAACATGTCATGGTTTTCGAGACGCTGATACTGGTGATGTCGACATCACGTTCCATAGAACAGCTGACGGAGGCTATGCAAACAACGCACTCTACGGAGGAGCCGAAATAGGTGAAAGAGGCATTATAATAGAGGTTTAAACGTTCAAATGGTCGTTACACCTGTCGCCGATTCTTCACATCGCAGAACACTCGCAGCTCATTGCAGTCTTAAACACGCAACTCACTGATCCAATTCAGCGGTGCTTAACCGCCCGGCCTCCTTGCCGATTCTGACCAGAAACAGGCGCACAGAGCTGGGATCGAACCCGCGCCTCTCTGCGCCAATCTTGGTACTCTGAACTTTAACCACTGTGCCACCCTGCCCTGTGTTCTATTGTGAGTTTACGGCGATCCACGAAGTAAAATTCATCGTGCTCTGTGCTAGAACCGATGTATTAGCAGTTGAGACTGAGCAGTAAATCACTGTGCTCGACTCATCGCCACGCGGTGGTACGTTAATGGAGGCCTTAACGAACACGTGTCTTCAAGATGAGTCACACGCATGGTCGGAAGCTGGCGAAGAAGAGATCGCCGTCACGTTTATAAAGATTGTGATGCATTTCGCTTAGACTTTTCCTTTAAAAAACAGCACGAATACTTTTCCATACCTAAATTTTTGGATTTGATAAAGTAATGTTTGGATTTCTCCCCGAGAAGAATCGGAATTCGTCCCGGAGCGTGTTGGAACGCTGATATTGACCTGAAGATGGAAAAGGTTATTAATTTGTTGTATAATTGGTTTGAAAATTTATTTATACAAGAAAAAACCCAGTTTGGTCACTGTCAAGTAATATTCATTAAAAGTAACGGACAATTTTTCCTATAAATTTTCTCTCGAAACGACTTCTGACATATACTCCCCTGCCTTCAACCTCATCGACTCAGAAATGTGAACAGATTCTAAAAAATCTCTGATTTGCCACTATCATGAATATGGGATGCCACAGAGGCCTTTGCCCTCAGGTTTGTCCGGTCCAACCCCTGCTGCCTGTCCGGATGTGAGGCGAGTGGTGTCTGGTGAAGAACTAAGTCCTCAGAAAGCGGACAAAAGAAGAAGAATATGGAAGGCATAGTGATAAAAAGCATGATAGATCAGTTGAGTTAGAAAATCTTAACAACAACAGTTTGCTGAGCAGATTAAGTAGTTAGGTTGGTGGGTGCCGACAGAAAATTTAGCCTTTTGATCTTGTACAGAATATGAGAACTTGAAGTTAGTTCCTCCACTCAAATTCCAAGTCCAGGTAGGCCCAGGTCGGGGAAGCGGGTAGTTGAAGGAATCTAGGGTCTGAAAAGTTGTACATGACAGTGGAATGAGAGGGAAGTAATGCTAAATTTGTTACTTGTCCTAACCTGTTACTTAACAGGCAACAGCGACAGAGTTATGCGTGCTTGAGTGAACTCTGCACAACGAAGATTCTGCCCATTGGCTATAAATTTGAGACTGACGCTGTGGCCACTGTTCACAATCATCACAAAGCAGTGAACGAAATCAATAAATTCTAAGTCTTCAGTCCTTCGTTGCTCTCTTTATAGGAAAAAACTGGTCCAGACGAACATAATTGAGCCATTTAAAAACTGGCACGCAGAACCACGGAACAACATCACTTGTATCTTCAGAGACACGCTTGTCATGATTGTACGGTTAAGGCACATTTCAAAGGCACCTACAAATTATAATACACTTCGTTACGACAAGTAATGGCAAGTCATATCACATGGTATTACGATCATTAAGCTACCGCAGATTCTCGAATTAATGCATTTAAATTTTACATAATCATATAAGTTACATCATCTAATAAAACTTATTCTCAGACTTCATTAGATATTTTTGGCTGAGAGTTCCAGACAATCAAAAAAAATTTGTTATTCTGGTTGGAAATGAACAATGCATGACCGCCTGCTGTAAAAATTTAGACTAACTACTTCGGCATCTAGTGAATAACTCTAGTGAATTTAATAATAATTAAAACCAAATATTCCTGATAGCAAGCCGAAATATGAGTGTGACAACAATATGTTCGGCATAAGTACACATTAAAATGCCATACAACGTATCCAAGTAAAAATATCCCTACAACTCTATCATACAGAATATCATTATAGATTTTCAAAATAAATACTGGAATAAGGTAATCGTAGATTGAATACCAGCTCAATAAGAAGATTGCATCAATTGACAGTTAATTGTGACAACATTAGGAACGAAAGCGTTGCAATTAACCGACTGCTCTGTAACAAATTTTGCTCCCGTTGTATTAAAGTAGATTTTTAAAAAGTGGTTTGCGTAACAACATTTGAAACTTCTAGATAACTAAACACTTGTAGAATTAATGATTGTGCTAAAATAGAGCAACAAGTGCATTAAGGCATCACTTTTTTGCAACAAAATAACAAACGCCGGTAGAATAGGTTGGCAGGAAACGAAAAATCACATTAATGCTGAATGCAAAAGATAAGACAACTGAATTCTATCATTTGAACTGTAACCTAATACGTCACTCACGCGAGGTATTGACAAAAAATGGCAGTGTACGTAGTTCAATTGAGTGACATAATTGAATGAACATGAAAATAAATAAGCTATCAATGTAGCAAAGATACAGAGTACCCTATGGTTTTCCCTCTCCATGAAGGGCAATATACTCGAATTCGTCTGTATCTTATAGACTTAAATGTACTACAGACACATGAAATTACTATAAAATATAATTATAATATCCAGATCATTCTCACAGCAGCACAAGTTCTTGCATCACGTGGTCGTTGATTATTCAAAAAATACTTCAATTATTCAATATTAAAAATACTGATAGCTAAACGCAAATTACTCAATTAGTCTATGAAGCAAGAAATAATTTACACAACTGCCTGAAGCAAAGGAATAAACTCAAGACAAAGACTTGGCATCTAAACAATCTAATACAGAGAACTTAAAATCGAAGCCACAAACGCCAACAAATTTCTCATACCGGACAAAAACCACGTATTGGTCCCAAACCGTTAGCAATCTTACTTTTAAATTATCTTAGAGACAAAACGAAAAATCTCTATTTGGGTACCAAGAGAATTTCTCAGACTCTTACATAGCCCCTGAATGCAACGAAACTAATTGGTCATAAGAATTATGATATTAATTACAATTAGGCATTGAATAACGGAGAGATNACGTACCCCCGTGATGCTTCGTTCATGCTGTAAATTTGTTCACAGACTCGACAAGGACATCGGTATAGTAGCAACACCTAATAAGGCACGTACAAAAAGCTCAATAAATATTTGATACTAAATCTACAGATGAATATAGCGAGACCAACCAGCCATCCAATGACGACGCAAAATCACACAGATCAGGCCGTAGACAACTACAGCTTGTGACAGAAGAGAATTGTTCGCCATTATTGGAAAGTTAAAGAAAGTATGAAAACTTTAAATTCACGAATAAATTCTAAACAGCTGCGCAGGAACCGTTATGAAATAATCTGATATTTGGGAATTCAATTATTTTGCCGTTCATGTCGAGTTCTTAAGGCAATTAGGGGGAAATTGTAGCCAAGTATTAGGTTATTCATAAGGAAGGTAGCTAGTTCACGGACATGGCACTGACGGCGATAACAAATTCGAAATATTGTCGGAATATTTTGAGAAGGTTCACAGCTAGAAAAATAGGTTTACATTTACTCTTACGTACAAAATAATATTTAATTGAGAGATTATGCTCTTCACAAGCGACTCAAGTTGACGCCAACGAATACCTTACGGTGACAATTCATTTCAGTTCAGTGGTTGGCAACGTAGAACAAAACTGAGGATTCATTTACATGTATAATGATTGCCAATCTAATCTACAAATTGGCACGAATGAGAGAAAGAAGATAAAGAGCACCCATTTGTTGTCATGTAGTCGCCACCATGAGCCATAATTGGTATTGATGATCCCACATTACAGGTGAATTATGAAATAGGAGCTGAATGGGGTTATATGAAAAAGGAGGTGAAAGGATATATGAAACAGGAGCTGAAAAGGTATATGAAATAAGAGGTGAAAGGATATATGAAACAGGAGCTAAAAGGATATATGAAACAGGAGGTGAAAGGATATATGAAACAGGAGCTAAAAGGATATATGAAACAGGAGCTAAAAGGATATATGAAACAGGAGCTAAAAGGATATATGAAACAGGAGGTGAAAGGATACATGAAAAATGAGGTGAAAGGGTATATGAAACAGGAGGTGAAAGGAAACAGGAGGTGAAAGGAAACAGGAGGTGGAAGAGGATCTGAACCAGAAGCTGAAAGGGGATTTAAAACAGGAGATAAAAGAAATGTAAAACAGGAGCTGAATGGGATAAGGAATGTAATGAGTCGAAGAAATATGATATTACGCCTCAATATTTCTCAATATTTTTAAACAATCTATGAAAAATTTCTGATGATTTACATGAATCATCACATTGACCGGTTCATCAATAGCTAAAAATATGACATTCTTCCAGTAAAAATATTAAATTTAATGTTTAAAATTGTAACATGATGAAACAACTCCGAAAATTTATATGAATTACTAATATATTAGGCAAATCGCACATCGAATTTCCAGAAGCTTGAGCATTTGAAAAAAGAATGTTTTTGTTCGTCGGTCAGAATATTAGTTATTTTAAATGACAACCGTGAAAGGAAAACGTTCACAGATCCAATCATTTAAGTTTTAGATGGTTGATGACTAACAGCAATCGGCGGTGTCTAGCTTAAGATTTCGTAAGAGGACTTTTCGTATCACAAACATCGATCGTGCAAGTCAATTAAGAAAAAGAAAGATTCTCAAGAACAGATCCAGTCGACTGAAGAAGAGCAAGCAAACAAATAACAAATGCTAAAACAAAACAAGCGTTTAACGGATAACACAAAAGACGGGCAACAAAATGTACATAATTACACTACAAGAAGCTACCTAAAATGATCAAGAAGAGATTTTAGAGCAGAAACGTAAGCACAACTATCAGTTCGACACTCACGGATAATGGGACCTCAAGAAAATGAACCCCACTGCAGAACTAATATTTACGAAGAACTGAATGGTTTCAAGAACCGAAAACTCAAAAGAACAGATGATTCTGATGAACTGAATATTTTGTTGAACACTCTAAATAACTTAACGTTTTGAAGAACTCTACGCACTGCAGAACTTAAAGCTCAATAGGAGTCAACTGAGTACAGCTCTCAGTTTCCTGAACGTTCTAACAATTACGTGACCAGTGCTAACGATGACGTCATCAGTCCTGGCGATGACGTCATCAGTCTTGACGATGACGTCATCAGTCCTGGCGATGACTTCATCAGTCCTGGCGATGACGTCATCAGTCTTGACGATGACGTCATCAGTCCTGGCGATGACGTCATCAGTCCTGGCGATGACGTCATCAGTCCTGGCGATGACGTCATCAGNGGACAGTGTAACATCACGCAGGACAGTGTAACATCACGCAGGACAGTGCAACATCACGCAGGACAGTGCAACATCACGCAGGACAGTATAACATCACGCACGTTTGCCTGAGTCACTCGTCTCGCGCGTTGTCCTAGCGGCATCAAGGGAATAATGAGATGCGTTAGCCAGAGCTTCACGAGTCTGTATGAATATAGCAGCTATAGCTGTTCAAATTCTGCATACAGTACTTGGTACGTTCACGATAAAATAAGAACTTTCACTGAGGTGGACCAGCATATAATTAATATATGACGATAGGAAGTAACTTAAGCCCCTGAGAAAATAACGAAATATGTAACACGTTCCCATTAGAAGATTTTTGTTCAAAATACAAGTTTGACTCGACAGAAGATAATGTTACACGTTATATTGTTCTAACATGTAGGTATTTGGAACTAATCTTATCTTCTAGCACGAAAATAATCGAACTAGCTACAGAATACAAGGCATGATGTTAAAAAATTCTAACAATGCTGAAAATGACACAAATTTTCTTCATAAAGACAAAAACGAAAACCGGCTTATTTTATGGATCACTTACGGTAATTTGAGACTTCAGCTTATTCAGCTGCTTGAGCGGTTCTCCGACAGACTCAGTGGAGAGCAGTCGCTTGAGAGCTGTCACGTCATAGCATCTTCCTAGGCCAGCATCCAAGCTCTTCTGACGTCGGTACTCCTGATACGTGAGCTCCCCAGCAGCGGCGCCCAGCGGCTCCATGGAGCGCTGACGGTGCTTGTACCGTACCTGGCGGTGCACAGGAACGTCGTTCGTCTCATCCACTCCTGCACCTGCGACTTGTCCTGACAGGCTAGGGTGCTCATCGTATAGAGTGCCACCAGCAGCACCTTGGTAGTCGCCGTAAGCACTAAACCCAGGCGCCGCGCTAGGAGCAACGTTCAGGCCTTGGGTGACATTACTCACAACTCGTCCGCGGTTGACGGGACTGTCGACAATATCGGCCGGATTGGATCTGTAAAACCATGACAATTAAATACAATGTTCAATGTAACTGTTCTCATATAATAAAACTCGTTTGTAGAATTCGTAAAAGATTTATATTAGATGATGAGATGTCGCCCCTCATTAATGCTCAAACCAGCAGAATGTTGCCCTCATGCCCCGCACGCTACCTCATGCCCCGGACTCACAGGTCAGGACTGTACAGCGCAGGGCAGTAGCTGTTGACGAACTCGACGGGGTCGTCATGTCCCAGGGCGCTGGGTTGCAGGCCTCATGCCTCGCGCTACCTCATGCCCCGCACAGCTCCCTCATGCCCCGGACTCACAGGTCAGGACAGTGCTACCTCATGCCCCGCACGCTACCTCATGCCCCGGACTCACAGGTCAGGACTGCGCTACCTCATGCCCCGCATGCTCCCTCATGCCCCCTACAGCTCCCTCATGCCCCGGACTCACAGGTCAGGACTGTACAGCGCAGGGCAGTAGCTGTTGACGAACTCGACGGGGTCGTCATGTCCCAGTGCGCTGGGTTGCAGGAACTGCAGGTCGGCGCTGCCCCGCTTGTCGGCGCCGGGGGGGAAGAGTTCGTTGGCGAAACTGACTGGGGGAGTGGGCCCTGGGACTGGGGACCCGCTGGTGCGCCGGGACCGTGACTTTTTTTGTCTCATGACGACATTAGACTGAGGTAACTCATAATTGATCTCAGGGCGAGGGGAGTAGTAAGGGGAAGTGGGGATTGAAGTCGCACTTTCAGGGGACCGTCTTAAAGCCGACGACAATTCCGACATGTCCAGGAACCTGTTAAGTAAAATAGGATATTATAGTGAGCTGTAAACAAAATGGATCTAAAAAAGAAGTGAAACACAAACTGGACCTGAAAAAGAGCGTTGTTAATATTGGGTCTCTTATAGTCAGACCCCAACTAATAATTACGTGGAGACCAAAAGCCATTTCTTCTGCAGATTCGTTCACCCACTGGAGTGCGGTGGCATACACGGCCATTAATCTTGCTTATTGAAATTAACAATTAATTAACAATGAGTATTAATCGGACGTTCCTCGCTAATTCGGGTTATTGTTTGGAAATATTCACTGTCATATTTGTATTTACAAGTCCGTAAATGCATTTACAAATACTATTTTCAAATCGATCGTTGACATAGTTTCGGCGATAGCTTCAAAATCAGAATTGCGTTTCTCTGGTTTCTAAATTTGTCTACAGAGAATTAAATTTGATGCTTTAGGTCACTAGTTTTCTTTTCTATCAACATAGCCACTCTTCCAGTTACTGGAACTAAATGCCCACTTTAATACTATTGATTTTTGGAGGTAACTTATTCAAAATAGTATAATTTTAATTACTGAAATAACATTTTTTACCTGCTGTCTGAGTTTCATCCATTGATGTAAATGCTCCATGTATGAGAGAATTTATCTTGATCTACCAACTCCAAAAGTAAACACATAATCGGTCTAAATTAGTCTGCCTAACTCGGCGTGCATTGATTTGCTTAACTCGGTCTACATTGGTCTACCTAATAAACAGGCATGGACCACATACTTGTTTGCAACACACGCACCTTATTTGAACTTATTTTCGCCCAGTAAAAGCCAGAGTCTGGCTCCGATCATCCGTATTACAAAGTGTAAAACTCACTTTTTATTACTCGCATACGCAGTACAAAATTTACAGTGTACTCTACTCTAAAGTTGACTACAAGGCAATATAAAAATTCAAAATGATCGGTGGTGCAATACTATAATAATATCCAAAGTTTCAGTTACTCGCCTCGTGACTGCACATGCTTGGAAAACTCCGGTAGGTAACAACAAACAGCTCACTGAGGCCAACTTTATTGGGTACAAAAGTACAAAAGCCTAGTTGAGTTTACGATCTTAATCTCATTATAAATTATCCATAATAAATAATTCTATTATTCTAGAAAATTCTTTCTTGGATCAAAACTGTGAGGCAATTTTCCAATGAAAAAAATTCTGACAACTCTTTTATACTTGGAAAATTCCCATATATATTTATTTTGACAACTCTATATTTTTGACAAATCTTTTATCACTCTTCCGCCTGCAGATGCAGCATAGACATAACAATAAAATACGCGCAAAGTTTTCCAAACATGAGCAAGACCGGCGTCCTACAGTCAGTATAAACCATTTATGATACTCAAATATGACAAAAAATTTTGTTGAAAAAGATGACTACGTTCCCAGTTCCCATCTCGCAAAGTAGCATTAGCAACTTGCCCCAAAAAGAGATTTTTAATTAAACCAAACTAAAGTTGAAAATTCGTCATGATAAATGATTACCCACATCAGAAAATTTACGGTGGCATTATTTTTAGAAACTGTAAGATGATTTAGAGTATCAAAGAACAGAATTGAATAAATATGTCAATAACAGAATTAGAAACCCAGTCGTTAAACTCATACATATTGCCAGTCATAAACTATTTGTACAAAAATATGAATTCAGAAGATAGAGAGCAACGTATGCGATAAAATTTACAATCAAAATCAACCCTGAGGGTTACAATGAAAGTTGTTTTGAGACTCGTACAAAATAATAATAGATAAGACACCAATGTATGCACATGTGAGCTCCTCTCAGATCCCACATAGACATACTGAAAATTGACTATTTACATCAAACACATACCCTTCATTTTAATCATTATTAGAATGAACTGTACAATGTACAAGGACAGACAAATTCTTGACAGAAATAAAGGGCAAAGGGAACAAATGTATATAAATATAATTAACTTTAGAACGAGATCAGACAATTGTACGCAACAAATACTCTCCGGTACCAAAAAAAAAAAACATTTGGTGGAAATTAAACTAAAATAAGCAAATGATATTTATGTACTAATACCATTACTGACTCCAAGAGGGAAGGGAGAGATGAAACTATCTAGTGTGAGAGTGTGAGAGAATCAGAGAAATGTACAAGTGCTAATCTATTAGAGAGATACTACTAGCCTTTGATCAGAAGAAATGAACATAAACAGGAAGACTAACATCTAATTTGAGCAAAGGCATGTCTTCTCACAATAGAGATTTATCTTCACTATGATATGCATGAATTTGAAAAAGTGAAGGAGGCTCATAACATATTTTGTTTCATAAGCTAAAGAATCTATACTTTAAAATATAAAGTATTAAGGCACCCATTAGCAAAACACGCACGTGAATAAAACAAATCCAAAACAAGCAATAGTTACGCAAAACAATAAAGGGTCTGATCTAAAGGCTCAGATCCTTTATTAACTCAAAATTCAACATAGTAGTGAAGTCATTTTCCCCAAGTATTGCTTTATTTATAGATCAAATGTTCTCGGATGTGCCTCAGTTCCATTATTTCATATAAGCATTAGCTGGAGACTTGAATTATTGTTTGCCTAATTTCTTTGGTAGGCAAATAAGTCGTACAACTAATGGCATACATCAGCTACAAAACATGAATCCGTAAGATTTTCCATACAATATTGTGGTGCATACAAGCCCACAACACGCAAACAACGTTCATTGTGTTAAACGGTTAAATTTATATCTAACAGGCTCTTTAATAGAGTTCAGGCATCCATTATCTGGTCCGCAAATGACATGGCCTCAACGCTGCCCGATATATCAGCTAAAGAAACACTGCTCTGGTCCCTTACCAAGCCCGGCGGCAGAGGGAACACCTCGTCTGAGTAGCCACTAGAGATGCTGTCTCTGGCTGTCAAACTTCCAGTCTCAGAAAACTTGCTGCAATCACGAGAATTTTCCGACAGCGAATCAACTCCTGAGCTGCTATTTTGCAGCTCAAAACTATTTCCCAAAGACATACTACGTCCAGAAACAGATTCTCTCGTGTGATCAGATGACCACGAACTGTAATTATTTGGCAGTAACTCAATTGAACAAACTTCCTTCGTAAACCTACGCCGTTCTTCGAGTGTGAGCTCTCGATCAACACCACGGTTGGCACCAATACCCTCGGTTTTTTCAAGCTCCAATTCTTTAACCATGTCATCAAGGACGATACGAGACTTGGCGACTTCAAGAGTCTCTTCATCACAATTTTGTTCATCATGCAGATAATTTAAGGAAGGTTTACGTTCGATTTCTTTATCTGCAAAGGCAGCACTACCATGCATAGGAATATTATTTACATTGACGGAAGAACCGTGGATACCATTAGGATTGAATTCAGAATGCCCGGAAATACTCGCACCATTAAGCTGTAAGTTAGAACTAAGACAAGGAGGAGACAGGTCAGGAACATTACAAGCCATGCACCTGTTCTCGTTCTTCAGGTCAACGGGGTTGAAGTAGAAGCTCTTGATGATACCCATGCATCGGTTCTCGCAGCTCTGTTTCATCCCTGAGGAGCTCTCATTGTTGATTATTTCTTTCGACACCTGTTGAGAAATCGGAAACGTAAGATTATTTTTTTCGACACCTGTTGAGACATCGCAAACGTAGAGGTACAGCTTGAACATGAAGCTAAATATTCCTGTGTATATGTTTAAGTACAATAGAGTATTAAATGTAAGCTGTACTATCGCAAAGTTCAGAATATTTTTCATAAATCACAGGCTAGAGGCACAGCCAATTGCAAATTGGCTCAAATGTTAAATTTCTCGGCATCTTCTCAGAGCAGCACCACGCAGGGTAGAGAGGTGACCTTGAATTTTAGGCCAGTACATGATCAATAAAAAAACAAGACTGAATGCTCCAAAAAGCAGCAAATGATTCACTTTAGACTACCAATTACTAAAATCTAATGTAAACAAAAGAAACCCGTTTACTTACGAAATAAGTTCAAAAACAAAGTTAATAACTTATTTTGAAAGTAAGCAATATAAACACTGAACTTAATTCAACTATTGAGTGGCTAGTGAGCTCATTCAATTAGATTCAATACTAGTAATGTTATTCAATTAAGCATGCGTGTAGGTACCAGCTGCACAAGTTTGTTGAGGTCCTTATCACAGGCGTGGTTCATGAAGACTTTACACAGAGCCTCTATGAGCCACGTACCGCGGTCGGGGTCACGTAGAGACACGTATCCTGCGCAACAAAACTGAAGATTAATCACTGTCATCAGGCAACATATTGGGCAGCATATTCGCCTTGGTTTCAACAGTTAGTATCTAGCTTCACAAAAAAAAGATGCTTCAAGATTCCAGTGTTGACAGGTGCTGAAAATACCTCGATACTAAGTAAAGAAGTGTGTATAGGATGAACAATTGATAGATGTATCGTGTATGTATCCACATGTATACTTTTTGGTTCAATGAAGAAAACTTGTCAATGCTTCTCCTAACCAAGTAAGTCTTCAGATCTGTCCTGACATTAGCAATGTTAGGTGCAGAAATGCTCACCTCTATTCTTCATCTCTTTTGTAATACCGTACTATCATAAGAATAGTTATTGATTCAAGTACATTAATCCCCTCAACACAAATGATACTGAGACCTGTCATTTAATAAATGTACAAAAATTGTTTCCATTTCTTGTATTAATTTTCAATATAAATCAATGAGTGATTGAAGCAGCATTTCTCTTCCGGACCAGACAGCAGGCTGACCTTCAATACATGGGTAGAGGCAGAATTGGTCTGAGTGCGTGGGCAGGTTCTCCAGACTATCGGTAGAGCCCTTCTTAGCAGAGTCAGTCTGGATGTTTAGCGATACTTTAGTGAGAGATAGTTTACTAGGGTTGCCGGCCACTCCACCGTCCCACAGCACACCTCTGTGGATATGCTATAATATTAATCAAGCTTATAAGACATGAACAGTAAGTAACAAAAAACACACTAATTTTAATTGCTGCAAAGGTTCAAGCCTCAAAATCAGAAGTACCCCACATGTTCAAGAAATTAAAAGATGAATGTTTATGAACTAACTAACTTGGGCATTAACAAGTAATAAATGGATCCCATTAAAATTTACAAATATTTCCTGCTGACAGCCAAGCAGGCACGATGGAACTTCTCACCTACAAAACTGGAAAATGAAGAGCTTGAGTTTGGACATAAGGGCTGGGCAGTTGAGGTTGTTGAACAAGTCCTGCACGTCACGGGTCTTGATGATGAGTCCGTCATCTGTGATGAATCCATCGCCTTTACCGTGACTCATGATGACAACAATGCACGAGTGAACGTCTTCGTGCTGGGAGTCTTCCCGAAACTTGCGTAGAGCAGCAAGTGTATCCTGAAGATAATGTTCATTAAAAATATCTGAATTGAATTGCTAGGTGACAACAAGGAATTAATTTTTGGATATAATTAGACAAGGGAGTTAAGTGAGAATTACTCAACAATGTTTGGCTCTCTAGATAACTCAACAAATTTGTTGACTTCTGCAATAATTTTAAAGAAAGAATTGGATTGAATAAGATTATGCAGATGGAGAGCAATGTACTCGTTAATAATTCAACTAAATATACAGAGAATTCTATGTATGAATGAAGAGCATGGTTTAAGTAGTCTGTAAATAGAGCTAATTAGCGATGAAACATTACTTTCTTGTCGAGGTCAACGTAGACGTGAGGAACATGGTAGCCCATCTGCTCAAAGAGTTCCTTGAGGTTGCGCACATCAATGTGCGAGCCTTGCCTCGGCTCGTGGTTTGTTCTACTGTTCTTGAAGGAATAGTCAGCCAGGAAGACAAGACCTCGAGGAGAGGAACAGTTCCGGTAAATCTAAAACAAATAACAGCAATCATTGAAACCTGTTTATACATATAGTGTATATAATTGGCTAAGGAAACTTTAGTTTAACCTTTAAGAGTTAGATTAAGATTAAGGTTACATTTAGATCAAGATTACGCTAAGGTAAGATTGGTTGTTAAATTGCTGGAAATTATTTGCAGATGAAGTCACCTGTTCTAAAGCTGAATTCATCATTTCAATATGTCACAATGTCACATTTCAATACGTCACTAATCTCAAATCATATAATTGTCTAACTTCTGATTATGAAGAAATGAATTTAGATTGATCTCTCAGCTATAAAGTATAAAAATGACCCAATGGCAAACTATTAGAATCCAAATTAATGAGAGTTAAATTAGGGTCAAACTGGACAACCACAAAAGAAGATTATCAAAGTCCTTACATGGAGTAACCCATCAATTAAATCATTTCATTTTTACATGATTGTCTCTGATGTGATAATGAGAAAACAAACAAATTTATGGCATTACACTACAACAATGAAAAATTTAAAATTTACTACACTTTCACCCATAATTGCCTAAGTATAAATGAACATAATAAAATTCTTAAAATCATTCTCAATGCAAAATTTGAAAGCTTCATTGAGTTCATGATGTTAACAAACCTCTTCATCAGAGTCTTCTCCGTCCTGAGGCCCGTGAATCTTGTTATTATATCGCACTCTGATGTTCAAAGGAGCCTGGGAATTGTCCAGACCAAAGCCCTGTGAAGTACTCTGCTGCAGCCCTGGAGGAAATATAACAAACATGTTGAATTTTTTTATTTTAATGCAGTAGATACACGTGTGTACATGTACAATAACAAGATATATGCTCTACTGTTGTGTAAATAAAAAACTTTCAAAAACCATGTTTTCTTAATGGACAAAAAATAAAAAATTTAACTCTCACATAACATTAAAGTTATGAAGAATGTTATGTAAGAGTTAATGTTTTTCTTTTTTGTCCGTTAAGAAAATGTGGTTTTAAGGTTTTTTTATTTATTTTATTTTCTATCTTTTAGTTTAGCAATCGAAATCATTTTCCAGGGTTGGCAATTCTGGATGTTTGACAAAAAAACTCGATTCCCAAACCCAACCCTGAATTTTCAATTTTTTTTTAATTGAAAAATTTTATATTTAACACATATTTTTATTATTACTTCTGATGATCAAATCTTGAATTGTTAGGCAACATAAGCGTACATGCCAAATTTCAAGTTTCTAGGATCTTCAGAACTGCTCTAAATCAAGGTTCAAATTTTTGGCGAGACAGACGGACATGAAGCAAAACTAAGAAAAATGTGGTGAAAATAAATGAATTAGCAATGAATAATGGTGAAGTGAAAAGATTTATTTAGAAATACTGCAATGAAGAGCACACGGAAGATAAATACAAACCAGCAGAATTGAGAGAATCTCCTGAGGCAGCACCAGGGTACGAGGCACTTTCTCGTAAGCGAGGCGTGTGTTCCGAGGAGAGCGCGTTGCCTCTTGCCAAGTCTGGGGAGTGGATGTCAGCAGAATAACTGTCTTCTTTGTCTTTCCTGGAAGCAATGGGCAAGAAAATTAATAACAGTTGCCCTGATGCATCCCTTTACTAGTCTTATCTGCAATGTATGTACATTGAGGATATAGTTAATAAATAACAAAAACAATTGCATGAAAATTCATTGAGATAGAATTTTTTTAATAGCTTTTACACTTGCTGCAATTCTACATTTTGGCTATTGCAAGATTATGTATTGAACCACAGCCATTATGAGAGTTACATAATATTCATAACCTAAACTGATAAATGACCTCACCAATCCAAAGCAATTTTTAAACTGCTATAGAATGAAGTTGCTGGAGCTTACAATAGCACTAGTAACTGGCAGGTAAAAGCAACAGCTATAATGTTCACATTTAAAAATGTGCAGATTCCAATACATTCATAATATAACACTAGTACCTATAAGCTGTTCGATGTTGATGGATGCTAAGAGCAATGTGTTCATGTCAAAAAATTTAGATACAGATGCTTGTACACTCACAATATAGCACTAGTAAGCTGTGGGTGGATGCTAAGAGCGACGTATTCATGGTCAAGGTCCAGCAATGTTCTGAGCACTCCAACCACATAATTTTGCCTCTTCTTCAGTTCAGGAATCTTCAATATTGATTCTTCAAGATATGTGAAGAACTTCAGGCACTTCTCTTCATGGGTCAGATTCGAAGCCTTTGGATAAAAGATATTGAATTAGGTACCTGTCAGTTGTGTATAAGTAAATACCTGATATGGAAATTCTTCAATGCTCAATAGGTCTAAACCTTACTATGGAGCAAAGCCAAGTTCACAATTACCAAAGCAAAATATTTAACAAGTAAAAGACACAAATATCAAAAACATTTCCAAAATTTAAACAAACAAGAGCATTAGTTGATCTCAAATTTGGCCCCAAATGACCCATAATCTATGCAAGTAGTATAAATGCTATAAAAACCATTTTGTAACTCTACAGCAACATCTGTAGATCTATAGCCCTTATTTCGGTAGATCAGAAGAAAAATACATGCTCATCTGACTGCAAGAAAAGATATTTTCTTCATCATCTAAAACTGAATTGATGACTACTTATAGACCTATAACATTTATAACAAGCAGCTATCACTTTAAATAGGCTTTTTGAATACTTCAATGTTAATATTAAATATTGTAGTAAAAGTGATTACAGAACTTCATTTTAAAGTTAATTTGCACTCACCATCAGGCCTGGTATATCACTCTTCTCCAACAGATTATTTTTGGCTAGAGCTAAAAGCAGCATTGACAAAGCACCATGCTTTGAATCAGCAAGCATGCGCCCCAAAACATCTCTCCGGTATCTGAGGTTGTCAACACAATCCTCAATACCGGCTTCAGTAGCCGATGCTAGAATATTATCACTCATTGCAGATGCCATGGTAAGTTGGAGCAACTGACTCTTATTAGGAACTGCCAGTCAAGTCACTGAATTTGAAGTAATTATTGGGCTAAATAATGCAAAAATATTCATGAATTAAGTTAATTGAGCAATTTCAAAGATATTACATTCTAGATCAACTGTAATTTGGAAGAAAAACTAATATTGAATATGAAGATAACTTAAACTATGACCACAGTATGGTAGAAATTCTGGGCACCAGGAAAAAGTTATTTGAATTAACGTCTATTAAACATGAGAGGAGCACATGAGATGCCTCAATACTGCTGAGATGGAAATGAACTAAAAATAGGCATCAAATTTCAGACTGATAGAATATCAATATTATGATGACAGCATGTCTTGTTCAAGAGGAGATAAAATAGATAATAACATGAAAGTTGACCTATCAGAAGATTTCCCTGATATGGAGCACATGCCTAGGTGTTGATGAGTCAGGGTGTTGGTGAGTCAGGGTGTTGGTGAGTCAGTAGGAGCGGCGGCCCTGGCAGGAGCTCCTGACGGGGGGCGGGACGACGACCCGCCGCCCACCGTCCCCTGCAGCGCCTCCCGACTCTGCTCACTGCCCATCCTGGTGTGCTGGGGCAACCACATAGGCTTAGTAGGCTTAGAATCTAAAATGTAAATAGAATTGTTTGAGAGATTTAGTAAATAAATTAAAAATATAATAGTTTGGGAGATTTTAAATGTAAAATAAATATCGAAAGTTTAATAAATTAAAAATCTAGAATAGATATCCAATATTTTGATAATTTACAATCTTAAATAGATATCGAGTAGGTAGTTTAATAGATCAAGAATCTAAAATAGGTATAGAATAGTTAAATAGATTGAATGAGGAGCTTTTCCTAAAGCTATTAGGTAACCGCATAACCAAGAAGAAAGAAAGAAACTTAAGCTGCCTGTGATCACATGAGACGAAAAATGATACGGATTGAAGAGAACTGTCATTCAACAACAGAATATAGGTTCATTAATGGCAGGTTCAAACACTCACACCAAACACTAACAAACCTAACATCATCACCGAAAGCCAGATAATGATTTTGTATAGATACATCCGAGGAACATCGCTTGTGGTCTCTTATTGAAGAGAAATTATGCTGAAACAAAATAAGAGTAATATTTTGCCTTTCACTTCTCAATGGAAATTATTATTTAACTAGATTTGTTATCGCAAAAGTAATCCAGCGTTTTCTTCCATAGATTGATATACTTTATATTAGACTGATCATGTCAATATTATTAGATATACTAGACTCAGCATGATATATTAGACTGATCATGTCAATATTATTAGATATACTAGACTCAGCATGATATATTAGACTGATCGTGTCAATATGAAAATATTTGCAACGCCGCGGCTACTTCGTCGAGGGCGACATAATTTGTTGTCCGAGTTTCATTGGGACTTCTCACAGATCAGTAATAAAAGTTAAAGCATTCCACAATACTGTTTGTAAAAAGACAATACATCGTAAACGCTCGCTATAAGTGATATGGTAAAAAAATCATTAACACATAAAAACCCTGAGACAACATCAAATTCAGTGGTTTAATTATTATCTTCCGTTTAATAAATGAAGATCAATGTTATCTTAAATAATGTATATTTTACTGGAGTGGAAAACAAATTAAGTATTGCGTGGGAGGGGCAAAGGGTTGAGGGGAGCAGTAAGGTCACCACGTGCTAGCCGTCCATTCAAGCCACTTCTTATAGCATAACAAATAAGTTGGCTGGCACTGGGTGGTTATTTCCTCCCAGTGTTGGCACCAGGCCATGATAGTATCTGTAGTAACAACCCACCCTTGGCAAGCCACCCAGCCACCCCCATGCGGGTGGTGACGTCACCCAGCCACCCCCATGTGGGTGGTGACGTCACACAAACACGTGTAGGAGCCCAGCAACCCTAAGGTCACGAGAGAGCGGGGCGCCAGCGGCAGGGCGTGTATGCAATTATTTCGTATTTTCATGACCTAAATTTAATTTTATCTCTTATTTGGGTTCCTATAGGAACCTATGGGAACTGTCACGTCANTCAACACATTTGCGTACAGCGTTCAAGTTCAACACATTTGTGTACAGCGTTCAAGTTCAACACATTTGTGCACAGCATTCAAGTTCAACACATTTGCGCACAGAGTTTGAGTTCAACAGATTTGTGTACAGCGTTTGAGTTCAATACATTTGTGTACAGCGTTCAAGTTCAACACATTTGTGTCCAGCGTTTGAGTTCAAAACATTTGTGTACAGCGTTCAAGTTCAACACATTTGTGTCCAGCGTTTGAGTTCAAAACATTTGTGTACAGCGTTCAAGTTCAACACATTTGTGTACAGCGTTCAAGTTCAACACATTTGTGTACAGCGTTCAAGTTCAACACATTTGTGTACATCGTTCAAGTTCAACACATTTGCGCACAGCGTTTGAGTTCAACAGATTTGTGTACAGCGTTCAAGTTCAACACATTTGTGTACAGCGTTCAAGTTCAACACATTTGTGTACATCATTCAAGTTCAACACATTTGCGCACAGCGTTTGAGTTCAAAACATTTGTGTACAGCGTTCAAGTTCAACACATTTGTGTACAGCGTTCAAGTTCAACACATTTGCGCACAACGTTTGAGTTCAAAACATTTGTGTACAGCGTTCAAGTTCAACACATTGGTGTACATCGTTCAAGTTCAACACATTTGTGTACAGCGTTCAAGTTCTATACATTTGTGTACAGCGTTCAAGTTCTATACATTTGTAAACAGCGTTCAAGTTCAACACATTTGTGTACAGCATTCAAGTTCAACACATTTGTGAACAGCATTCAAGTTCAACACATTTGTGTACAGCATTCAAGTTCAACACATTTGTGTACAGCGTTTGAGTTCAATACATGACTTAGTTTCATCCTGTGGTCCAGACGAATGGTTCGAGGCGGTCTGGTATAGGTAGCAAGTTATTGAGCGTATCAAGGGTCTCTATGAGAGTGTTAAGGTTAGCATGGCAGGTCGTAAGAGAGTGGCTTAGTTCTGAGACGTGACTTAGACGCTCGGCGTGTCGGGCGAAGGCTCGCTGTCTCTCCGTCAGGATGGACATCACCGTCGCCAGGGTTGCGTCCACCTGACCGAGTGATATAGCTTGACCAAATGAATTACTAAATAATTACCAAAGGACCAAATGAATTACTAAGTAATTACCAAAGGAGCAAATGAATTACTATGTAAATCACCGTCGCCAGGGTTGCGTCCACCTGACCGAGTGATGAAGCTTCGTGTACATCGAGTGTCGGGATATTAGCGTTGAAATTATAAATTACGGAGAGAGTAGCATTTAATTGAATAATTACGAAGATATTAGCATTGAAATGCGCAATCATGAAGATATATTAACATTAAAATGTGCAGTCATAAAGAGATTATCTTTAAAATGCACGTTGCACATTAAGGAAAATTAGCATTGCAATGGACATGAAGATGGCATTGGAAGAAAGCAAGCATGGACACTACGAAAATTGTATCTCAGTACGTGATCATGAAACGAGTACGTAGTGAACAAACGTCTTGGCATGAGTCGTGTAGAAACACGGCATGCCATCAGCCTACACAATGCTACAGATGGTCAAGATCAACATGCCATCATCGTAGACATTATTCATCTGACCAGTTTCAACACACCATCATCGTAGACATTATTCAGCTGTTCAGTATCAACATGCCATCATCGTAGACATTATTCAACTGGCCAGTTTCAACACGCCATCATAGTAGACATTATTCAGCTGACCAGTATCAACATGTCATCATCATAGACATTATTCATCTAGCCAGTATCAACACGCCATCATCGTAGACATTATTCATCTAGCCAGTATCAACACGCCATCATCGTAGACATTATTCATCATTATTATTGGAAATTGGATTGCCAATGCCACCATGCACATACCTAGGTACCTAATACCGAATAAAATTTTTATCAATATTTTTTATAATTTTGTGCATGAAATTTCCAATAAACTGCATGCTTAACCATTTACAAACACAACAGCTGGGGAGTGGTCATGCCGCCATAAGTCATAACCCAGGTTTTTTTTGCCACAGCTAAGGTAGTGTCAGACTCAGTGTGTCACTAGTCAAGTGTGTAGTGTGTACAGTGTACCTAGCTACTATTTGGGTAATGTATGTAAGGTATTTGGGTCTTTATTTACTCACGGGTAGCTCCAGACCGATTTGCCAATTAGCTAGCGCCAATAAACTAGCTATAGGCCCTAGGTATATAGCCTACCTAAAGTCAATTCATCATTCATGATGATGATGTCATCGATCTCTGAGATCACATTCACAACTCCTACAAATACACAATTACATACAAGTTGACAATACCTACACTAAATTGCAAGCAAAGTGCAAACATGTACATTTTTTTGTTTTTACTGAAAACAATTATGCATAAATTACAGCTATTACATTACAGTAATCACACAGCACGACAGCAGCAGCTAGCTAACAGGATACACCAGCATCATCAACCAAGAGCCAAACGTCACAATCGGAAACGAAAAGTGATAAGAGAGCGGAAATCTCGTTAAACGGGTTGCCGGTAGGAGGCTCCACCGCCCTGCGCCGCATGGACTAACTCACTAACAATCTAACACAGTGGTTCCGAAACTTTTTCAGGCTGGCGCCCCCTTTGGCTCCCCAGTAAATCTCTAGCGCCCCCCCCACTCACATATAAAAACGGTTGAACTAATATAGTTCAACCATGTTGTATTATAGTTGTATAGTTCAACTATACAACTAATGGTTGAACTAATACAACTATAGTTGTATAAGTTCAACCATGTAAAAACAAACGCCTCTTACTTGATTTTTAGTACGCTGCAGTTTAAAAAAAAAAAGTTTAAACACAAATGTGTACTTCACAAAAATAACCCCATTTAGTAAACCAATACATTTTATAGAAGTTTTAACTGTTAGAAATTCAAGACGTCTCGGGACAAATTTACGGCTAGACTCGTGGCCGGTCTCGCGGCCAATATCCAAATTCAATTATCAAGGAATATCTCCCAAACTAATGAACGCAGCTCGATAAAACTTGTAACATGTACTCATTAAGACCTAACGGTGATGTTTAAGACGTGAAAAATTGAAATTTCACCTGCATTCGGGATTTATATGTCGATATGCGCCGAA